ACCCCCATTAATATCATCCTTATTCATATTGATCTGATTATATTGGTTATCTGAAACAACGCATAAAGGTGCTATATTTTTAAAGCGAATTTTTGCATCTTCTGCAAGTTTTCTATAGGCATTTTTAACATGCTCTGATTCTTTATGCCAACTTTCGCTAGCCTTCGAAGAGATCTCTTTTAAAGATAGATCGATATTCAGTTTTGATATTTCACGGTTAAAAACTTTTCGATAAATAATGAAAGGATTGGGAGTTCTGTTATATTTAGAATCTGCATTGCTAAGTGATTTAGAAATTAATTCCTCAATCGTGATTTTTGGAGGAAACGATGGTTTAAAGTTAGATATTGAAGTATATGTAGGAGAGAAGCTAGCAATAATAGTTTTTTTGTTACTATTTTTTGGCATAGTGTAGTATCTGCTCTCAAGATTTTAAAATAAAAAGAATTTTTTGAAAACAAGCAAATAAAACACATGTTTATATATGTATAATTATCCTTCAAAGCCGATAAATATAGTTAATCCTATAGTGAATGATTAAGGAAAAATATCCTAATAAGGACATTAGATTGATAATGACTCATGGCATATGTATGCTCGAGTACGTATGCGCACATGAGACACGTAATTGCCGCATTCAACAATTTATAAACAATCAAATTTTCTTTTCTTTTTTTTTTTAATATATCACGGCATGTGACAGTTGAATTTTCAGTCCCATTGCTATGCGCAAACATGCTTATTCATATGAACTTTTTTGTTGTCCGAAAAGTTCAATATTAGGTTTGAAATATAACTTCGAGTTCCAACAAAAAAAAAAAAAAAAAGTACTGTGTAATTAGAAGCAACCATCTGATTTTGGAATCATTGGTTTATATAAATCTATAAATAACCACTGCGGAAATATTATGTATTATTAATAGAAATAAAGTAACATTACCTTTCTGACCCTAACCTGAAACTTAATGACGTATGTACATGACCATAAACTTTTTACCGGGAAATAGAGTAAATCAAAATGGATCAGATAAAAAGCAGAGTATTAGGAGTGGTGAAGTCAATTGTGTAAAATAATAAGGAAATGCTTTATTTCTAGCCTTCAAAGAAAAACAAAAGATAATTTTATTTACTAAAGGAAAGGCATGATTTTTTTTATTTATACACACGTGCATTTATTTAAGTTCTTGATTACTTTGTTTGTTAAAAATTTAAGTCTCAAAATAGAAATATGTTAAAGCTTTGTAGTAATAATAATTTATAGACAAATTAAAAAAAATTAGTGGCAGCATAAAAACACAATATATATATACTGTACGTAGAAAACGAAAGTGCAAGTATTAGCATGAATTAGCATGATAAAAACCATTTTATAAAAATAATGACATTTATATTTCTTTATGTCTCACATATTCGTCAATTTATTGTACCCCAATGAGTTGATTATATTACACAAACGGAGTCTGTAAAATGAATATGCATAGTATGCGAATTATTTTTAAGTATGCACTTTTAAAACCGCTCTGTTACTGTACAAAATGATAATATCATTCGGTCTTTTTCTGCATTTTTACAGCAGATGTTTGCAGCTAATCATAAATATCAATATTATAATAATATAAAGTGTTACAGTAAGTCGTATTGTCTCGCTATATGTACGTACATAGGG